CGAGTGCACGGCTTCAAACATGTAGCTCTATTTAGGCAAACTTCATTAGCAGCGGCGTCATAAATAATAGAGTTTAATTGATATTCCAGTGCGTGCTGATTAAGAGTTAACAAGAGGACGGAGGGACAAGGGAAACGCATTACAGCTACTGGTGTTGTCTTTGATTTGAAGCAGAGCGAGACCAAGCGAGAGTAAGAGAGAGATAATCAGATTTAGTAAGAGAGAGATAATCGGATATAGAGGATTTATCGTCGGCTGTTTTAATAAATGTGTGATACATTTTAATTTTATTATCCAAGGTAAGGTAGTCAGTAAGTAAGTAAGTGTGTACGTACGTATGAATGTGTATTGTACCCATAGACTGTAAATATTAACGGACATAGTCACGCCTATCTCCGCCGTTCTAACTAATGTGCCACAGCATTTGCGCTTGCATCAGCCAGCACGAGCCCCATTCATTTAAACGAGTGCTTTCGAAAATTCACAGCAAGTAAACTACAGTGGTCCAAAAAAAATCCACCCCCCTCAGCATTGACACACATGTGGAACGGAGCTTTGGGCCAAGAGCCAACTTTTGGTCCATCCTGTAAAGACGTTTTCGGGGGGTCAGCTAATACTATATGTTAGCATTAGCTAATTCTACTTCCGGGTCCACCCCCATCGGCCCGGGGTGGTATTGCAAGCATGTCAGCGCACGTCATTTTGGCCACTTTTGAGCCGGTGTAACGCCGAGATACACTGCCTTGACGAGATGCACTGCCTCAGCTGTTAAGGATGTAATGCAAACCTGCGCATGCGCGTCTTACGGCAGCCGAAGAATCCAAGATGGCGGACCGTGAATTGCTTTAAAAGTTAAAATACAAACGAATTAAGACACGAATGTCACTTTTAATGCAATTTGAGGCGAGATGTTGATGGTTCCGTTTTGTCACATGTGGGTTTTAAGAGTCAAAGTTTCGTGCAAAGTTTATTTTAAGCAGTCAACTGCCGCCTCCTGTTCGGCGACCCCGCTCCCATCTCTGTGTGGAGTGAGAGGACAAGTGCCCAAAAATAACAATTGTAAACCGCTTTGTGACTCTGGTCTGTGAAAGGCGGTATATAAATAAACATTACTTACTTACTTACTTACTGTGAAACCACAAAGCTAATGTTTTCATAGCAGTCCGCGGCTGCTGACGTAGGCTGATGGCGCGTCCTGTGGCCACTCTACGGCTTACAACTGGTCTGTCGGGTTGATAATGGAAATAATCAATTTAATTTAATTCATGTATCGTACTGCATTCAATATGATTAACAATAGTGTGTTCAAACAAAATCGATTTTTTTCCCCATTTTCGATTACCCGCCCCCACTGATTGTAACATACAAACGCACAGAGACACACACACACACATGCACACCAACACTGTACAAACACATGCCAAAATATGTGTTTGCATGTGTATTCTGTGTGGAGTTTGCATGTTCTCTCCATGTCTCAGTAAGTTTCTAGGTTTCTTATTTATCTCATTTAAAATTTCATATAAATAATATTAATAATTGGTTTTATTTATCACTTGACTTAATTACTTAAATAAGAGTTTCTTATAGTACATGTCTTTAAGTTAGATTTGGTTTTTTTTCTGACACAGGCTCAACTTCTCATTCACAACTAAGGACTCACCCCATTGGTTTGAATTTAAGGCTTAAGAAATTTGAATGGCCGTGGACATGGACAGACAGGGACAGCTGCTTACTTCTTACTTTATCCTACAGTAGGTCAGAAATATGTATACTAATTAAAGCTGGGGTTCCTGTCTTTATTGTTTGATAAATTCTGCATTTTGCTTGTCCCAATGGAAAGAGTCTTAGTGGACAAATCAGACCACAACCTGCTGTTTTCATTGCACTAGAAAACAATAGATACTTATTATAAAGAGCCTCGTGAGTCAATATTTCACGCTCTGGGTTGAGAACTTATCGGCAGAGTCAAGGTAGTCCTCTCTTTTTTATTTTAAAGTTGATCTAAAACTGTGACAGAGGCCAAGAAATACATGCATACTATAGGATAGAACCAAACTGCGTTGAGGATGAGAAAGTAGATATATGTATTTAATTGCATTTAGTTCTGTTTGTTGTAGTTTGAAAATTAAAACAAAAATTACCCCGGCTATAACTCATCAAACACACTTTAAATTACAGTCTTTCACCGAAGTATAAAAGGAGAGACTGATAGCAAAAAAAGAACGAGAGAAGAAATGCAGATTGAGGTGGAGGAAGTGTGGAGACAGAGAGAGAGAGAGAGAGAGAGAGAACTGTGGTTTTGGTGCGTAACCAGGAAACACTGCAGTGGGAGGAGAGACCGGCCCCTCTGATGAAGCTCAGTGTTGAATATTCATGCTCTGTATGTGAGACATGTCACTTAAGCTGCGCTGACTCAGATGTGGGGCGATAAAAAACACCAAATAAACATGTACAAGAGGTGCGGACACTTTCGCTTTTGGTAACGGACAGCACGCCCCCATGGCAACAATGGAGTATCTTAAACTTGTTATGTGTTTAAAACGAAATGAATGAATGAATTATCTGATGGTAATGTTCTACAGGATATATTTTCATTACTTTAAAGTAGGGCTGGGTGATATGGCAAAAAAGTAAAATCTCGATTTTATTTCCTGCTTTAGATGATTGTGATTTTGAATCGATTTTCATTACCGAAGTCACTGAAGACAGACTTTGCCCTTAAAAATTTGTTTTGATCTTTTTGCTCAATATTCAAGTTTCAAAACTAGTTTTTAATTTGTTTCCCCTAATATGTATAAAAGTCTTGTACAGACGGTGCTGATATTATATAAGTATAATTCATGTGCTGCTGGAACTCTCACAACATCCTTCATTTGATTTCACGATTTTAACGTTTTTCACAAATCAGATTTTTCCAAAAGCCGATTCATTGCCTAAGTTCGATTGATTGCCCAGCCCAACTTTAAAGTGTTGGTAATTGCTTTTAAAGGACCACAGTGCTACTTTGTGATGGGGCGGGCAGCTACAATCTGGAAAAGTCTTTCTGAAAATGTGAGACAAGCTTCTTCTCAGACAAATCAAATCCTATTTCATTGTAGCGTGATTATTTATCGTCTTGTCTATCATCGGCTTGTTGCCATGTACCATGACAATAAACAACATTTAATAATACGTTTTTTTCTACCTATGGACAATTAATAAATCTGTTTGTCTTGTTGAACCAAAAATTATTCTATTTGTTTTATTGTTTGATTTTCTGTTTTGATTGTATTGGTGTGATTTTCTATTCTGGTACAAATCCACAATTCTGATTTGATTTCTTCTCAAAAACTTGATGTTTTTTTCTGCTAATGTAACTGTAATGCCATACTGTGAGATATTCTAGGACAAATTTAAGTATTTAGGGCCGCACAAGTTTTGTCATGCATCATTCCTTGAAATTCAAAACAAAATATCATATGTTCATAGTCCTCAAAAACGCCACTTTTTTACCACTTTCATTGGTATTTCTTTCATTTGAAATATGTAGAATATTTGTTTTGAATCTGGCAACTGTCTTTGGTTCTCATCATATTGCTATGTTAATACAGTAAGTGTCCTGAATCATTACTATCCTTAGACCCTCCTACATCTACAGTATCGGTAAGGAACAACTAAAAAGAAAACCCTATGGGAGGAAGTAAGAAACCCCAGGTAGACCCACATTGATTTTCAATGGTGTCTCTTACTGTGTTTCACCAGAAAAGATTCAAAGTGCACATAGTGGTTACTTCCGTATTTTGGTGATTAATGGGTTTCAGAACGATGATGAGTGAGGACCACTCATTCAGCCATGAAAGGTACACCGTGTTGTTTTTAGTGGGAGGATTTTTTTTTATTTTTTTTTGCAATGAAAAAAACAGTTGAACTTTTTAAACACAGCAATTACAAAGCAACAAACTGGTTATGAAGTTCAACTCTTGAAACCTGCATACATTATCTTTAAAGTGAGTATTTTGCTGGTAAAATGACACTTATTTGAAACAATAATGAAGCCAGTTTGTGAAAACATGAATGACAACAGCAGTAAGATCCACAATTGATTATAAAGTTTGACATAAACAGGTCAGATCTCAAAAGCTAAGCAGGACAGGATCTGGTTAGTACTGCGATGGGAGACCTCTGGGACACAGTGGGGCACCAAACTTTTGTTGTGTCCTTAGCAAACAAGACACTTAACCCAGATCGCCTGAGTCTGGTGTTTGTACATTCTTAAAGCACTTTGGTCTGGGATATACACAATAAAAATTAAAATTACTTAATTAATTACATGAAATATACTGTCAAAATATGTTTTTCTGTGAAACGTCGATCACGCTTTCGTTAGTCAGTTTATTACACGGTTGCTAGGTAACAACCTGCCCTTGATACGGTCATTAACAACCAGGAAGTAAAATAAAAATTGTAAATGGTGAGTAAACTTGGATAAAATAAAAACAAAAAATCAGTAAAATCCTAAATACCATTCTTTTAACTTTATTCTGTGAAAAAAGTACAGTTTAACCCGTTATAATCACTTTATCAATATTTTCATTTGATTGCTGCTTTGCGTAAACACGTGACTGCATCCCGAGTCCGTATGAGAAAAAAAAAATCAACAAAGCTATAATGTAAGCCACGTGTTTGGGAAAGACTGTTAAAAGTTTACTACTGTATAAACAAAAAAAGTTAGCCCAATACTGGTCTAATAATTGAACATGTTTTCTAAGTAGCGTACCGTCGCTTGACATAGCTGAGCGAAATGTAGCAAAGGGACAAGACTGGAGCATCACAAATACACAGCAAAACTATTCGCATTGGTGCTAATGTGCTTTCTCCTGTAGCTTTAGTTTCTTCACTCGTGCAAACAACAAGAACAACGCTCAAACAGGAAAACGACAAGACAAGCCACAGGGCAAGGAGACCGCAAACCACTGCCGAGAACGTGTTTCGGAGCGTGTCAAAAAAGAAACACCCACCTGAATCATCCGCGAAGGAGGAAAACCCCTTGACGAGCAAAAGCAACCCGCAGAACAAGCAAATTTGGATCAAGAGCAACTCCTTTCGCCGTTTTCGCCTCGCCTTGACTTTCCTCCGATTGAGCATCATTCGGGTCGGTTCGCGTCCGGGTCCAGTTGCGTACATCGCGTCTTCTTGCAACGAAGCGACATCCATAAGCAGAGAAGGGTGCTTATTAAAGGGGAGGTGGGGTGTGGAGGGGGGGTACGACAGAGCTCCTGGTGTGGATTGTAGACTTTCCCCCCGGTGGTATAAGTGTGTCAGAAAGGGCTGTGGAAGGTGTTAGAAGAGCGAGGGAGGTTTGGAAGTTAGAGAAGACTTGGAAGAGGTGGCGTCTGCGTGCGTCATGTTGGAGAACGCGTTTCAAAGTGGCTGAAAAGAGGAGGAGGAGGATCGCCGCTGCTGCTGCTGCTGCTGCTGAATGACCACGTGTGTGTGCGTGTGTGTGTGTGTTTGTGTGTGTGTGAGAGAGAGAGAAGAGGCTACAGTGAGGATGTAAAAGGCAAATGTTGATATTGCTTGGAAACGAGATGCGTATAAAGCTGACGACTATTCCATTAAGATTCAAAGTCTCAGGCAGATTGTTGATAAATGCACTTTAATGATCTCTTGCACTGTATTGTGACAATTATTTCTTGTACTATTTAGCTTGTTTTATTTATATATTTGTCCGGTACACTCTGGGTTACTTTGACACATTGGTTTGGTTTTTTTGCAATTGGCAAATAAGCTGAATCTGAATCTGGTCTCACTTGAGTTGTGGTCCATGTACATCTCTATGAACAAGACATTGAAGATTTTTCACTTGCATTTGAATCAATAGATTATGATTATTGATATTGTATTAAAACTGAAACAGATCCTCCAGCCCTAGCTTTTATGACACGAACATGTTGGTTCTCTTAGCAACTCTAGTTTGTCCTGGCCCTGCAAACTGTCTTACTGCTCTCCAAGGAGAACAGATGAATCTATGAGAATATTGTCATACTATATACTGGTTCATATCAAAAATCTTACCTCAGAGCATTTGCTGTGTCTTTGAAAAAAAAAAAATGTGTGTTTTCAATGTCAACTGGGTCATAGGCCATTGTTGGGAAATATTGAACAATTGTTTGTATATGTGCGTATATACCATATCCAAATTAGGTCTGAATCCAAGAAGATCCAGAACCAGAGGGGCAACAGTTGATAGAGCATTGGCCTCTGAGCCCGAAGGTTGTGGGTTCGAGCCCACCACGAGACCTTCTCTACTGACTCCCACTGTTGTTGTTGTGTCCTTGGGCAAGACACTTCACCCACTTTGCTCGCTGCTTGCCTTGATGTGTATATGTATATGCATAAGCATCAAATTGAAATTTCCCCATTGTGGGACAAATAAAGAACCTTCTTCTAAATCCAAGAGAAGACCAGAAAGAATCAACATGGATTCAGGTCGAACAGACTGAATGCACCTACACAGTCTCCAGTCTCATTCCTTCTCCGGTGTAGAATAACGTGGTCATACATTCAGAAAGGACTTTATTGTTCTGCTGAAATCATATTAAAGAAGCTCCATGGATCAATAGCGCGAGTAGGTTAATCACAAGTGCTTTCCGTGGCCTCTTCTGGGAACGACTCAGAGCTCTGACCGAATGGAGACTGCAGCTGGACTTTTGATGAGCTTTGTCTGTCATTAATGAACACATGATTCATTCAAAGGATTAAGAGGCATTCACTCCTGGTTAAGCATTGCTGCTACATTGTATATTGTATCTTATCTTATCTTAATACCAGTCTAATGCAGTACAATTTCACACTATTTTATGATATCAATATTCTGATATAGTCATGAAGGTCTTTTGTGTATGAACATCGGCAGAAACCTCTTGAAACATGTTAAATGCTAAACTATTTACACTATAGCATCCAGAGCAGTCAATTTGACGGCTTTTAGGCACATAGTTACTCAGCTCATGTATCTTTTTGGTCTATATAACTTTAGACTTTTACTGTTTCTATGTGTAGTTTATTTCTGTGTCAATATTTTTATGAAATTATGTTTTATGACATGTGAGAAGTTCTGACAACCAGAAATCAAATGGAGCCATATTTGGTCACATGGTGTGTTCTATGGCAGTTTTCCACCGGTCCTGGACTGGTCCTGGACTGGTCCTGGACTGGTCCTGGACTGGTCTTGGACTGATTCTAGTTCAGGTTGGTTTTCCACCAGTGAAGAGCACATGGTTGTTACCATAGCAACACATGGTTTACTCTCATTTAGCCTTTCAACTTTTGCTAAATTTCAGTCATATTCACCAGTTTTAGCACATATTTACAGTGAGTAAATAGGTTAAAAAAAATGTACTTACTTTTCATGAATGATAAAAAAAAAAAAAAATGTAGGACTTTCTCAGAGTTGCTTTGGTTCGTTTGTTGAATCTGGAAGTTAGAGTGTTAAGAACAATACAAACAACATGTATTATGAATGTATTTCTATATGGATCTATTACAACAACAAACTATTACTTTCTGACATTTAAAGTGTGGTTTCTGTAAATCTAAGCAGTTGTTTTCTCGTCAAAACAAAACAATTCAATGCTAATTTGATTCTTGTTCAAATGAGATGTTTTGATCATCTGTGAGCATCTGGGTATTGATTGTTTTGGACAACCACTGGCCCCAACCCAGCAGCCTGCAGGAATCAGATGAGAAACAAGAATACATGTCTCTCTCACTCATTCTCTGTTAAATGCAACTCAATCATGTGCACTGTATTACTACGTATTCATTTGTTTTTATGAATGGGTGTGTTTCGGCTGCTGGACACCTGACTTTCACCATCTATCTATCTATCTATCACACGTGCCCATTATTAAACGCGCAAAAATCCATGTCTTTAACAATATATACGTACATATATAAGCAAGTATATGCCTATTAGTGCAGGGCGTCAAACATTAGTCACACACAAAATTATAAAAAGCAGTATATTTCAATCATTTTAAACTGTATCCGGTTCTCACGGCCCCAATTTACCGTAAATCAGGCAAACACAAACAGGAAGCTAGTATAAAAATGACAACATGTAATTGCACATACTGTATCATAGATCGTAGAAAGAAGCGGACACACGTCACCCATATCGCTTTTTCCCAGAAGATGACTATTAGAGCTAGCTTAGGCTCCATGGGCGGTAAATTGGCTCCAAACTCTCTCATAGCAACTATAATTCATAAATAGCCAATCAGCTGCCAGGTCGGTCTGTTCGCCACCAAAGACACTATAAATCCAAGAGATTATTGTATTATTGTGGACTTTCTCTGTTGAAAATGGTCTCTTTTTCATCTGAGTATATAGTTATTGTTCATTTCTCTTGTGCTGCGTGCTCCAAATGCCTATCGTTCTGTAACTGGTGATGCAACACTGAAATTTCCCCACTGTGGGACGAATAAGCAATCTCTTAATCTTAATCTTCTGAATCTACAGCAAAAATTTAATTAGCAACACAATCAGACATTTTTTCATTTACACGTCTTAACGCTGGACATAACTTTTTCTTCTTGATCATTAACACAGACTTATAAGAAAGCATTTGATCATTTGAGAGCGCTGTCAGGCACTATTTGACACTTTTCGTCTCTTTTTCACTTATCTGGCTGAAAACGCTGATCTAATGACGCGATTAAAGCCAAAAACTGCATGCGTGTGAAAAGTTGATACCTTTTAGATTCAGAGCAAGGAAGTAGTTTGATAGATTTTTATAGATTTTTCAATTTCTTTGGTGGGTTTGAAATTTAGGCACCCTAGCTTTTAATACTACAGTGCACAAAACTGTCATAATCTGTCCTGTTGTGTTATATTTTGATATCTTTTCTTGTCCTTGTTTCATAGTTTACTTCCTGATTCCCGCCCCACCCTTTTGATGTGTCTCACCTGTCCTACATAAGCCAGATTGTCTATTGTTTTGCGGTTTTTGCCTTTTTCTATTAAATCCTAAACCGTCTTTTGACTTTGGGTCCAATTTTTGAGTCACTTCTGTACAACCCTGACACTAAACAATCCAGGTAATTCAATACATACGACACAACATTAGTTTCTGTATGACGTCAGCTCTCCCAGCCCTCCCTGCTGCTGCCTCTGCCTGTTTGTGCTTGTTCTGTGTGTATTTGCGCTCACATCACACAGATGCACAGCAGATTTCTCTGTCTGTCTGCATCCTGCCATTTCCCGTCAGTCCAACACAACCTCAGATAATGAATATTACCAGCTAAGCGGGTTTCTTGATTGCAAGGCCCGAGGTTTTATTTAAATAGCTCTGGAAAGTTTCCAACGAGAATGGAAAAAGTGGTCAAGGCTCGAGGCAACGGGTTTCATTGTTCGGATTTAACCCTTTCAAACCAGGAGTGGATGCTGAGTTGGCATTGCAGCAAACTCATATAAACATGTCTGAGATTTTACTTGCTTTAGATTGTTATTATCAGACATCTTTCAAGTTATTTTCAAGTATTTTTGTCAATTTTTGTACTATTTAAGTCATAAAAAATATACTTGAATTGTATTTCAATAACAAAGTCTATGTTTTTGACCTTCTGGCCTAGAACTATAATGTACAGTATTTTTGCGTAATATACCTTTGGATATACCTACACTAAAATAGATACACCAGATTTACAATTTAATGTTGATATTTCATTATGCACTAATATAAGCTATTCTATATCTTCATAGCATTACTCACTAATTTGACAAAAGCATATTTTTCACTCACTCCGCTGTGAAACTGGGCCAAAGTATAGAGGACAAGTTACTAAACAAAACAGAATCCCAACCTCTGTAAAAGGCACACACAAACACAGGGAGAAAGGAGGGGCAGCAAATTAAATGCAGTTAAATTGTTTTTCCATAGCCAGTGGGCTTGGCAAGGGACTCACACACGAACACACACACACAGGCAAACACACACACACACACACACATGCACACACACACGCAAGCACACATACACACAAACAAGATGTGCGATAAGTTGTGGAGAAGACAGAGTAGAAAGGCTTCTGATGTCAGAGTATGTGAGGAATTTACCCCATTTTCCCATGTCCGACTGACTGACTGACTGCCCCCAGAGCTGGGAGCAGTCCAGACAATAC